ATTTTAAAGAAATCTACATTTTATTTACTACTCATATGGATAATAGATGTTATTTATTTATTTTAATTATTTATATCATTTGAATTAAATGTATCTTTGGTGAAGGGTCTGTCCGTCTCCTGTCAATATTTATGTTTTATTTAATATAGTAACTTACTTTGTAGTTTAAAATGTTGACTTGGATCAACTGCACCATATTGGCTTAAGTATGAAACCATGATGCAGTTACTTCAGTTTCGATATATATATAATACAAAGCCAAAATGTGACACAACTATAGGTACTGTGGGTTTTAGTTTTATTTGCAAAGAAACAGATTTAGGTATTAGAGGAGACATACCGTGCTTTTCCAGATTTTATTTGCTTGAGTGTGTTATATAGGTCGTTTGTGTGTGTACAAAGTTAAAAAGCCCAAAGTCCATGGTATATGGAGATATCACTGCATCTGGGCTCCTGAAACGCCTCATCGGTCCTCCAGCTAATGCATCCAGGAAAGTATCCTCATACTTCTATGCATTATGCAAATGTAGGGGTCACGATGCACTGCATTTGCTGAGACTTCCTACACTTGCTGGAAGTGGTTGACCAACCACAACAGAGTGGGTGGGCTGACCAATCAGAGCAGGCTGGGCTTAATTGGAAGGGGGCCGTAAAATGACCTAAAACCAAGAGACAGAGGCTGAAAGGAGGAGCTGCAGCGATGGACAGTGTGAGGAAAGAGATGTGTTTTTTGATTATTAGAGCTTGTAAACATTTTCTATTAATAATCAAGAATAAAATTATGAGTCTAAAGATAAGTCTATGTCTCCTTTGAGTCAGTTTTGAAGAACAGTAACTTCACCTTTAAAGGGCTTTTTGTGTTCTTCTAGTTTGACAAGATAGTTGTACATTTTATGTAAAATACTTAATATTTCTTTCAAAATCCGTCTAAAGACAGATATAGGCCGTAAGGTCCTCAAACAAAGTCATGCTCACCTTCAGGTTTAGTATGTGCCTCTACACATCTTTCCTATATGACAAATAACAGACTGACTTAGGCTTCATGTCATATCAGTGTAGCGGCGCAGGAGAGGGGAGGAAAGCTGGAGAGAGTGGCGTAAAGAAAGCTGCGTGTGAGCAGACGGATGTAAGAAGACACAATCAGCCTTGTACCTACATCAGTATGCCACAGTAGTTTCTACTCTGTCCTATCGTTCCTTGCTGCAAACAACCGTCAGCACCTGGCCCCCTCTGCCCACCCCTCCCCAATGTCTCCACGAGAGGATGAATCTGTCATGATGTCCATTAGTGTTATTACTGCTCTGACGTCCATGGAAGCAGTCAGGGCGTCCCTTATTGTGCTGACATGGCATGAAACCCGCACTGGCATACAAGGCCTAATCTGACACATCAGATTTACCCATTCCTACCGTGTCTATTTTACCCGCCATCAAGTGGAGTTTAGTTATCCACACCCGCGCGCCTATACCAACTACTCCGTGTGACAGTGAACCTCTTATCTACTCCCCTGTCTCAAGAGTTTTTTCTGGCCACTGTCCTGCATATCATCTACACTGTGTTTGGTTTGCGTCGAGTGGCAACGGTTGAATATATTTCAGCGCAACAGGCAGCAGATCTGCCTCTGTAAACTGAATCTAATGGAGATGAAATTCCTCTCAGCACATTATCTACCTATTGTGACACACAGCTTTGTGATCCATGACAGTTTCTGACTGAGAACTAGAGTAGAATGACATTAGTTAGTGTTTGTATGCGCTGCTGTCATAGATTAAGTGATGGCATCACTGTTCCATTTGACAGTCTGCTGAAGAGTCGCGGGGTTGTTTATTGATGCACACCCATCAAGTGTGAGTCATTATCTTCTTTATAATATCAGTTATATATTTGTTTTGGGTTTTACTTGAAAGTGAAGACCTACAGTCATGTAGGTGGACAGCAGCAGAATTGTTGCCCACCATTGCAGAATCCTGAATACTGCTCCCTACAGTGGTACCTCTGGATTTTGGCCTTATTTGCTGCTGGGAAGCCAGTGAGGGATCATGTTAGTCTATGAGATTGGGTTTGCTATACAGATGTAAGTAAGCCATATTGCCAAAATAAAGCATTTAATCTTCTCTTCCTTCCAGTAGACCTAAGAATAGAAGATCACTACTGTAACATCAAAAGGACTCGCATTATGATTTTTTTTAGAATTGTCATCACTCAAAACCCATGAATTTGAAAATATTGGCTTCAACTGAGTTCCAAGATTATTTTGTATTGTGAAATTAAGTTTTTTTGGTTGCAAAAAATGCTGATTTTTTAGTTTTATCTTTGATAACATTTTAAGAAATAGCAAATCTTTTTCAAGGAACTAAAAAAATATGGAAAAACTTGATTGAGCTGTTAATGTATGATGTATGAAAAGAGGAAAGAGCTTTAACTACTGCCATTAGAGTGGAAAATTGCTCTTTTATAATAGATGTTCTTATTTCTTTCTTATTTAACACTAATTCATTTCCTAATTGATCCACAAATCTTACTTCCCAGTGACTCCTGCATTTTGTACTTGTTGTCTACTGTCTTTTTTGTTATTATTTATGTTTAGCTATTTTTTCTGTACAGCAGCTGATAAAGATTATGATGTCTGACCTTGTTGCAGACAACTTAAATGCAATCTTAATCATATTCATTTCAAATCGTTGCTGGTAGCAAAAGTGTGAATGTCACTGTTCCTGTGAAGTAGGCAGCATGTTGAAAGCATAAGCAAGAAATCCGCATGAGTGTCAGATGTGGAAAAATGTGTTTGACATCAGTTATTTCACAACACTCGTTAACACTCGTTGATTAATGAATGTGAATCTACATCAGCTTTGTGTTTACAGTCTTGACAGAACTGTGAATCACAGTGATTCACAGTTATTATATTATATTATTATTATTAATGAAGTGCCCCTTTCTTTTTCCCATTTGGCTCGGCTGTGTGTTCTGTACCACAGCATGTTCATTATTTTTGCTGAAGAAACAAATGTATATTTTAGGACAAGACAAATTCACATGGGTTTCAAATCAAAAGAGAAGCAATAGATTCAAAAAGAGGGAAATGTTGGCCTCCGACAACAGCTGTCAGTTCCAGTCCTGAGCACCAGAGAGTAAATCGGAGCCTTGCCCAGGCTTTGTTCTGGGCCTGGCTGGACACAGATTAGCTATGCTAACAGCGGCCATTTGGCCCTGCGCCTCTGCCTTCAGACTCCCATCAGAGAAGGGTCTTCTGAATGCTCACATTTCCATTTTGCCTGAGTTTTCTTCTTTTCTATCGGCAATCAAACAAGACATGTGCAACTAATTCTCAAAAAACTGCTCTTTTTCAATGTAGAGCATCACTGTTCATGAGAGACACAGGGTTTGGAGACCTGGTCTTTGGCAGTGGACACTTCAAAATGTTGCTGGTTTCACCTGCAACCACACAGCAGTGTGTAGTGTGGCGCAGTGACAGAGGAGAACTTACAGTGACACCTCACAGGGAACTCCTGTGCAGGATTTGATTCTTGCACAGTAACAAGACACAATCATAGCAGAGTTCCTGAAGTCACAGCATGTATTTTTTTTGTGTCTTTGTCAGAAGCACCTTCCTCCTCCTGTGCTGGGCGGCTTAAACCTCCATACATGTCAGTCATCCTGCTCTATGATTTCAATATCATTTGGCCGGAGGCTGAGGGAAGCAGCCAGTACAGCAAACAATACTGCAGACTCTGAGTGTGAACACAGATTTACTGTTGTAATAAAGCAATGAAAATCATTATTTCTGGAACAGGTCTTGTTAAAGATAGGATTGGTAATCCTGGAGAAGTGAGCAAGAGGAGGCCACACTGATACATCACTCCCATTGGCCCTCTAGTCAAAGCTTCGCCCCCAACACATGAACTTGCACTGACTGACAAGTGATTGAGGCCAAAATTCCTGTAACTCTCTTTTTGGACATCTTTTTAAAAACATTATCGATTAATGAACAGGATGTGAAGATGATTTCAACAATTTACCAACCCTACCTTTAATTGATTTTGCTTTTTTTTGTTATATCCCTTATTGCACCTTTATGTTTTTTCCCCTCATATGTTTAACAGCATCACTTTGATGGGCACAACCAATTAGGTTGTTTAACAACTTGTAACAACATTGTCCAACATGTTACAAGTCTTAGATGATTGGATAAGATTCAAACAATCTTCACCAACCAAATTTATGCATCGTTAATTACTGCCTGTGCTATCAGGATTTTTGTTATGACATTTCAAGGTTAACACTGAATAGAAAAACTGGTTTAAATAATCTAAACTGCTGGTTTATTTACAACATGTCTGATGGTTCGACTGCTCGTGCTTCTTGTTGACCTGGATGAGCTCAAGGTATTATTATTACCTCTAAAACCCAAACTAAAGTTACACATCAGAAACAAGAGCCAAGTTATAATAAACAGGAATGATCCTCCAAACCAACATGTAGTTTTGCTACTTAGGGAGTGTGGAAACAAGCAGAACGCAACTTTAAATGGTTTACTATTTCAGATTCAACCAGCAGATACAGAACATTCTGGGCCTCGAATAAAATCAGGTTCGCCTTATGAATACCTAATACTCATTTGCGTCTCACTCTTGTAATGCTAATATCCTGCAAAATTAAACTGCAAATCCGGTTGCCGACCAGAAAAACCAAAGAAAATGAGCTGAAAGACGCCGTAAAGCTCCTAAGCTGAGGGGAACTGCAGTGATTTTTCATAATCATCTTCTCTCATGTAAAACTAAAGACTTATCTCTGCTCTACTATTACTATTCTTTGTCTTCTTACTGTGACGTGAAAGGATAAAATGCAAGTTGCATGCAATGTAACTTCGGCTTCTCTTAACATCATTTTATCATCAGAACTAAATTTTTCTTCTCTTCTTTCTCTCTCTCTTTTTCTGTCTTTCTCTCTCTGTTTCTGTCTTTCCCTATCTGTGTCTGTCTTTGTCTCTCTGTCTCCAGGATGCCAAGTTCGTGGAGGAGAGAAGGAAGCAGCTGCAGTGTTACCTCCGCATAGTGATGAACAAACTCATCCAGACGCTGCCGGAGTTCACAGCCCACCCCTCTAAAGAGACCCTGCTGTCTCTCCTGCCTTTCTGTCAGTAAGTGGACGCACACCATGCATGCGTGTGCGGGAAAGATGCCAACACGTGTGTGCAAATGTATGATTTCTGCAATGTTACAGAAACCTACAGAGTATCCAGTCCAATCAGGAAGAGTCAGGGGATGTGATGAAAGCAAACAAAACATCCATATAAATCATTTTTTGACTTTCTTCATGCGTGCAGATCATTAGGCAGCAGTTTTTCTACATTACACTCAAATATGACAGATTCCAAATTAGTTTAAATCCCATTTTATGCTCACACAATCTAACAAGAACAAACTGCCTGTCACTTTGTGGGGACAGTTTGTATGTACTACACCAATTAAATCTACAATGTTTCAGAAAGAAATAGGCTGTTGTGCTGGTAGTTGTTAGCAGATACAAACAGGGAGGATTAATGTCACTGAAAATGCCAAATCCCTTGTAAACAAACTTCAGCACTTCCCTGTGTTTTATTCTCATACTTACAAGTGCAGCCTACGCACACACTCGATCAGCAAGTGTGAAAGTGCATGCTGCCTCAGATTCCCACCTGCCTACCAGGCTACATCTGAAAATAAGATGTTCCAGTCATTTCCTGTCAATATTCACATCAGTTGCCACAAACTGCAGTCTGTTGGCGAGTGCGACCCGTCACACCGTCTGACTGGAATGTCATTTCCTGTCTGGAGACATCTGAGTCATCAGGCTACACCAAAAACAACAACAACAACATAGAATTTCTATATTTATCATAGCTTCTTTCAAGATATTCTCGTGGTTTAAAGGTACAGTGTGTAGAATTTTGTGATATCTAGTGTTGAAATTGCATGTTGCAGCTGAACACCCCTCACCTCAGCCTCTCCTTCCTACACAAACTGTGGTAGCCTTTAATTGTCATGAAGACTCAAAAGGTGTTTAGTTAGTCTGGACTAATGTAAAAAAACATGGCGGCCTCCGTAGAGAGGGTCCCCTCGATGTAAATATAAAGTGTTTGAATATAAAGGGCCTTTTCTGGGGTAAAGAAAATTTCTGCCAATAGTTCCCTTTCACCTAAATCTTGACCTGGACCTTTAAGCCTTTTAAATATGATCAGTGCGAGAACAAGTGTTGCTGTAATTCATCTTATTGACAATAGATCTATAATTTCACAATGAATTCACAGGATAAAGCCCTAAATCTATCTGCTGGTTGTGGGAACTGTCAAAAAGTGATCTCCACAGTAACTATGGTAACACATCTGCACATCAGCTGGGGATTTCAGGGATTTCCCAGATACATCAGAATGAAAAAAGTAAATTCAAGGTTGATTGTTTTTCTTTGTCCTGTATACATACCATCCATCCATCCATCCATCCATCCATCCATCCATCATCTATACTGCCTATCCTTAGAGGGTTGCAGGTTTAGCTGGAGCTCATCCCAGCTGATGTGAGGTGGGGGTGGGGGGTGTGCACCATTGACAGGTTGCCAGCGCATCAGAGGGCTGACCAGAGACAAACAATCATTCACACTCACATTCACACGTACGATTTAAAGTTCTCAATTAATCTAACACCCAATCTGCATGTCTTCAGTCCGTGGGAGGAAGGTGGAGCACACGGAGAAAACCCACACAGACACAGGGAGAACTTTATTACAGTACACAATCCCCTTTTACTTGGTCTGGACAAAATTTAACCATGTAAGAATAAGAATAAGAATAAGAATGCCTTTATTGTCATTGAACAGGCTGTGCAATGAAATTATAGAGCCACTCCTTCACAGTGCAAACATGATAGTGACAGGAACATTTAGACATAAACTGGTTTTATTTGTGGATTTTAAAGAGATGTATTTCACACAAGGAATGTCTGAAACTGCTTAATTAGTCAAAAGGGTTCCAAGAATACACCTGAATTTAAACTAAGTGTGGCCGACAGTTGCTTACTCTTTGAATTTCGAGAATTTGGCAGCAGGTACGGTGGCTAATGCTCCCCTCCTTCGATTGGTCACTTTGAACACTCCAGTCCCAGGCCCATCTCTAATCTTCTAACCCCCTTCCCTCTCATTTTTCTGTTGCAACTGTAAACCTCGTGGATCATTTATACCACTGCTGTCATTTATTTTGAGACTAAATAAAGGCCATGATGGAGGCTGAACTGCATATACAGAGAAAACTAGGAACGCTGAACTCAGAGGATAAGGACAAACTGGCAAAGACAAAAGGAAACATGGAGACTAAAGTCAGTTAGAAGGGAGACAGTTCGACAAACAGAGGTGTGACACATCACAGCAGGTACAGGTAATCAGGAAGGTGGAGACACAGGAAGATTAAGAAGTGACCTGAAAAGAGACGAGATGTGAGTGTCAATGAAAAAGTAACGTAACTAAAGTGGAAATGGGACAGCTGGTCGTCCTCAAGACACGAAACTTTAAAGAACCTGCACACCCCTACAGCTATTCTCAATTATTCCGACTGATTAAACCTCCGCTCAGGTTGAAACGGGGTGGAGCTACGATGGCATTTAATTGATTAAATAAGAAATGTGACTGAATTTTCAAGGGGCACCATACCGAGAACAATCATTAAAGAAATATATTTCCATATTGCACAAGGAGATTCATTCAAATTGAGAGGCAAGTCTCCATGGTGTTTGGTCCAGTGGAATTTGAGTACCAGACAGACAGGTGTGGAAAAAGCCCCCAAAGTGCACACTGCTCATTATTGAGTCTGTCCTGAGAGCTTTAATAATCATATCTCTCCTTCTCATGTCTGTGAGCTGAAATAGAAACCTTTCCACTGCATGTCTTTGACTGACATGAAATATTAGTGTGTCAAGCCACTGAAGTCTGCCTCAGACTTCACTGTCTGCTGTTCATCACACCCTGACATATTGTCATGCAGAGTTCTTTCTATTCTTACACAGTTGTATCGCCTGCTAATGTAATTTTTTTTTATCATACAGCAGGTGAAGACTAAGGAAGAAAGACTGAACTACAAACTAATAGAAGATGATGGACAACTTTGTTTTACTTGGTGGTGAAAGAGCTAGTGGGTCATTTAGTGTTTGGGCAAAGTTATGCTGCCTTTATGTACGAAAAGAGAAACTTCTTATGACAATGTAACCATCACTGCCCTCATACCACCCATGTTGGCCAATCAGGGATACCGCAAACTAAAAACCCCCAATGTCCCTTAAGGTTAGGCATAGAAGTCTGAAATCCAGGTGTATGAGATGATGACATATGTCTGTCACGAAGCATGTACTAGTTATTGTTATCAAAAAATGGCCTTTGAAAGATAAATAAAAACAGTTTGAACCAGTTAAGGTTTTTCACATCAGCACATTTTTAGAAACTAGACGTTGATGCCTTTCAAGTGAGGTGTGATCCATGCAGTGTGACCTTTTTGTTCTTCTGTTTTAAGCTTTTGCATTTTGCCATGTCAAATAGGCAAACAATGGTAGATTTTAAGAGGATTACCTGCACATCCACTCGAGGGTAGCAGTCGAGAGAGTGTTTTTTCTCCTCCCGGCTGTTCCACAGTAACTTTTTGTCTCTGTACCTGCGCAAAATACCATCATATAGATTCTTGTAGTGTCTCACCAACTCCAAGTCTCTGCTCAAAAAGTCCAACCATTGTGAAAACGTCCTCCTGTCCCCTGGTTATCAAACATGAACTCTCTATCACACTGCTCCACATGATTTCCAGTGGTACTGCTCTGTTTTGTCTGCATGCATTATTCGTCAGTGTCCCTATAAATATCTAATATTGAGGGTAAAAGATCGTTGAGGGGTCAGAGGCTCTGCAGCTACTTGTGTGATGCTCTGTAAAAGGTTAGCCTTAGGGTTTCGACAACAACAACAAGACGGTACAGCAGCATCTTGAGCACCATGTAACATGTTGCCGAGAGCCTGTGGACACGTCTACCTTGGATGAAGTCCAGCAGTGGCAGCTGACAGAGAGTCGATGATTAAGTACGTGTTGTCCACCTGCTGTAATTGGTCGTGACATGAGAATCTTTACCCCTGTGACTCAGTGGAATGACAGTTGACAGTGGATCACACCAGATCAGCATACCATGATGTTCCTGGCTTGTGTGTGTGTGTGTGTGCGTGCGCGTGCATACAGAGCTCACCAGATTCCCTTCATAAAAATGTCCAGGCCAGTGCTGTCATGATGTTACTGTCTTATCTCGTCTCTGTAACTGCCTGCTCGGTTGGTGTGATCAAACCTGTGGGGGTCTTACATCCTCAGTGAGGGATGACAGTCAGATTAGTCTGGTCGTTAGCTTAGTGATGGGGGAGGGCAGGGAGGAGGAGAGGGTGCAGACACAAAGAGAGAATGTTGCTTGGTCCTAAAGGCCAAACATAAACACACAGATTATCTGACCACAGTGTCTCAATCAATAGAGGTGGGTCTAAAATAATAAAGTAATAAAATTACAAATAATGCATCCAGCCCATTTATTATAAATATTGATGAAGCACTGATAATGGAGGTCATATTTACTGTCTAATGGAATGTAGTAGTTTCCGACAGAGATAGATTCTTAATATTTATATATAAAATTATATTTTTTATTGTATTTTTTAATATTCAGATTTGGTTTCACTGGCTGGGCTAACTACTTGATGTTTGTATGCTGCTTGTGTCTGTAGTCGAGGAAAACATTGGGCTTGGAATGGGTTCGGAAACAAAACCTGAATTTGTGTCTGGCTTAGGGACGGCTTGTTCCAGTTTGGACATAAAAAAACAGAATGCATGTCAGGTTAGGACAGAAAATTAGTTTGAGCTCAAGTTCCAAAGACCTTTAGGGTTTATAAAACTAATACTAAAGTATGAAAGTATTTGCTGAGACATTCTGTACATAGCAGTTTCTGAAATAAATGTCAGCTGAATCCACTGAGCGAAGGAATGAGATATAGAGGTGTTCACCTTTAAACAACTTTGAAGAACTTATTCTGTGATGCTTTGGATCTGCGGGGTGGGGTCCAATTTACATTTCTTTAAATGATATATTTTTCATGTTTTGCATATGTGTATTTTTGTGTCTCTTGTAATAAATAAGAAAAACAATTTGATTGAAGAAACAAGAAACTTAAAGTTCCCTCTCCTCTCTGTAAGGTACAGTCATACTCTGTGTGAGTGGATATCATTGGACCTAACAACAGATCTACTCTCTTAGCTTGTTCATTTGTTTTACTGATCAATACTAAATGAAAGCATTTCTATAATTAGCATTTGCCTACAATATTTTTTAAGTGTTTCAATTTCTAGGCTGTTTTATATTCATTATTATCTGTGTACAGCCAATTATCCCCTTGACCTCCATGATGCCACCAGATGTTGTCACTGGCAGATTTGTGACACAATATTAGAGCCTATATGAGGGTGCATCGACTTTAATATGAGATGACACATGTTCTGATGCATCGAAAGAATTAGGAGCCAGTGAAGAGGGAAAATGACAAGGAGCAGTTGAGTGAAGAAAAGAGTGGGGGAGAGGGCAGTGGAGGATGGAGGGAAAGAACACTGGACTGAGGAGTAGACAGTGGAAAGATGGAAAGCAAATTAGGGTTCAGCACTTCAGATTCCCTGCTGAGGCACTCGCTGCTCAAAGGCCAGATGGATCTGTAAACTTCTTAATTATGGTACTGACCTAAACGTCCTATGGAAATGGGTGTAACTAGCAGCGACTTAATTCCTTTTAGAGAGCCAACTGTCACTTTTTACTGTTTACGTTGATGGAACTGAATCATTTAAAAGCTATGTTACATTCTACTCCTCTGGCTGGATTTTGTCCTAATTGAATCACGCCGATGTAAGTTGACAGGAAACTCACTTGGACGGGTTCCCACTGCTTTGATTTGACTCAGCAGTAGATAGACAAAAGCACCATACGTTGCTATATGATCACTCAGGTTGTCGCAGACAATATACAAGGTAAAAGCACATGACGTGTTGTGATTTCATTTTCTTTAGATTCAATTTTATGTATTGCTTTTACTTTTGAAGGGGCATATTTTACTTTTTCTTTTTTTGTGTTCTTTTGGTGTCTGGGAATGTTTTGTTCATTTTCTGTTCTTGGAGGTCTCTACCTCAATGTATCCCCAACTAAAGGTTGAATACATTTCAAAAGAATCAGATAAATGATCCTGTGAGAAATAAAGCCCCTTTGTTTTTTAACATGCGTACTGTTGGAGATCGCTTGCTGGCGCCATTACCTCTTTGTTTGTCGTTGAAGCTCAAGGAATCCTGGGATGCACAGGTTATCCCTCTGGGATTAAAGGACGCATTTGTCGGAGCCTTGGAAATAGGGCAGCCTAATCACGCCGCTGGGTGGAACACAGCTGCAGTCTTTGGTCGATTAATCCACCCTTCTATTGAACACGTGTTATTTATTTTAAATTTTGCTGTGTTTATTTTTGATGGCCAACACACTGATGTGCTCGGATCAGCTATTTTTCTCACCTGTCTGAACAGAGACATGTTCACACCTCCCGTTAGACTTAGGCAGCACTTAGTATGCAGCCCGACCTCAACACTCAACACATGGTTTACTGAGAACACACAGAACACACACTCTCGCCTCATTGACCTTTGTCTCACTGTCAAGAGCAGTTTGTGGCAGTTTGGCTTCAGTGTGTGGGAGTGTGAAAGCACATGTCGTGGAAATAGTTTCATTATTCACTGTGTATTATTCATCGCACCCCACCATTTACTGTGAGACAATCAATTTGATGAATGCTTGTTTGTGTACCTGTTTACTCTAATTATGCTCCTCTACAGCATTATTAATATTCCAACGGTGCCTGGGAAAGTTATTATCTTGCACAAGTCAATGACTTGTCCAAATGGGGACAAGCACATGCTGAGAGAAAGTAAAGAAATCTATAAGCCTAATTACTTTAGCGCTTTTAGCTCCTTCTCCCAGTTTGATATGAATAAATGATACGGCCCAGCTCGGCATGCTGCCCCCAATTTAGCTTGATTTTTGCTGATACAAACCTCAACTGCATCACTGTGTGGACAAACTCAAATTGGGTGACTGCATTTGATTGAACCTGCCTGGGGTTGGTGGAGGTATGGGAATAAGTGGAACTACATTTTGTGCCAGAGGAAAAGGGAAAATGTTCATCATATAAACAAAGTTCAGGCTTTTGTCCGATTGGTTAGTCATAAACTGCTTTTAAGACATGCACTGAACTCCAGATGATCCCCTGAAATTATCCAGAGGAGCTGTATGTGTGAACCCAAATTTACAAGTCAGTTGCTGCTGACAATCTCTGTAATTTTTCCTGCCAGCCCCGTAGTAAAAACTCTGGATGAGGCCATGTGAGAATAAAGAGAGAGAGTGGGCGCGTTGATGACTTTTCCAAAAAGTGATTGATGCCAAACTAGAAACCAAGTGAGCTAAGAGAGAAGAAGAGGTTCGAAAGCTTTTGCCGGACGCAGATGTCCATGTGCAGTAAAAATAAGTCGGGACTGTATTTTTCGGACATTTACTGGAGTTCATGTTGTAATTTTTTATCTTGATGTTTATGACACAGACACTTGGTAGCTACACATTAGACATTCTTAGCCTGTGCTTTCCGTGTCCCTATTTCCACGCAACAGAGCCTCGCTGCGCCCTTGCTGCCTCACATGAAAGCACATGGCTGGCAGCGTTACTTTCAGCCGAAGCACCTCACCACGAGTCCATTTATTTTTAGCATGTGTTTCCAGAGTGGGTATCAAACTGCTATCACAGGACCACCCCAATGTCCCAGATAAGCGTACTCACAGCTTCAGTTGCTGGGGTACGGTCAGTGAAGAGGTCAGTTGGACATGAGCAGGGAGATGCCCTCTGCCTCCGTAATGTTTGTAGTATTTATTAAAAATCGCTTTGTCAGAGTATCACCCGATCTCACCACTGCCTTTAAAAAGTCACTTCTTCAGCAAAAGCAGCAGTTTGGGGGTCGAGGGGGGGGTTCCTGTCTTTGGGCTGAAGTACTTGATAAGTAGAGTAGAGGAACACAGAGAAAACATTTAACTCCAGGTTTTCACTCATTCTGCTTTTCATTTCCTTTCTTCAACAAGTGCCTCTCATTCATTCTCACCGTTATCAGATAAGACTCAAAGGATAAGGGGGTTCATGGTGTGGGGACTGTCGTCAGGGTAACTATGGCAATGATGTCATCAAGTGGCCAAGCTTATTTCCTCCTGAGTAATGAAAAGCCTAATCATCATCATAAAATCAGAAAAGACTGTAATCTGAATTATTGTGTCACAATTAATGGCTTTTGGTTGTGAGGGAATCATGTAGAGGAAAATTAAAGGTAGCAATAAAACAAAAACGTACCAGATGTTAAACCAGGGAATAACACAATATGAAGTTTGGAGTGTTTTACACTTTTCTTGTGCCAAAAGCTAAAGTGAGAAAATGAGTGTTTTTCAGCTCTAACAGAAGCTGCAAGTGTTATTATGAGTCAATGTGGAGTCAAAATAATAAGAAAGAATCACGTGGAACAACAACCCAGAGAGTCAAAGAGAATGGGGGCAAAGTTGCCAAGGAAGTGTGTGGTGAATTTTGTGCAATTAGGACATTCAATGAATTTTTAAATAAATATAGAACGTTTTTTTAATGTTTGTTCATCACCAGTAATTTTTCCAATGCTGGAAAAAGTTGCCCATGATCAGTGATCAGTGTTTTGAGTCAGGCAGCATTGTGTTTCTTTGTGATCTTTGCAAATTGAAAATGTCTCATCTTAGTATCAGGATTATCAACAGGGGAACCTGCTTGTGTTAGTATATCTGCAATTAATCAGCTGATAAAATGCATCTAAACGTCACCAAGTTGTTGCATGAATTAGCCATCCAGCTACAGTAAAGCGTAGTAACATTTTCCAGCGGCAGTTCAGTCAAATGCATTAAGTCATTGTCTGCTTTTGTGAAACTTTGTTTTTGAAACCCACAGTTTCAAAAATGACTCAGATGTTAATGTGGTACATTTGCTACCATTCACTCAATTACTGTGCAAGAACATAAAAGTTCTACAAATGTAGAAATAGTAACTATTGGGAGGCAAAGATACAATTTCATTTAACTGCACAAAAAAATAAAGTAGAACAACTGTGATTCATCTCATTCGCTGGTGAAAGTTTCACCATTTGCTGTTTCAATTAATGTCTAGTTTTCCAGTCCAGTCTTGTTGCAGAAGGAAGATGATTCAGAGGCAGCATCAGTGGTTTGAACATTAATGAGAACACTAAACTTGATAATAAACTCCACCAGATGTTTATTTGTTTTTTCTTTTCCTTCCCATCGTTCTCTCATCTAGAGACACACCCCAGGCAAACGATGGAGGAGCAAAGACGCCCCGGTCCAAAAATTCCTCTCGTTTCCCCAGACTGGGCCGCAGCCGCAACCAGGAAACCAGACCGGAACCTCAGAGCGGAGACCTCTAACTTCAGAGTCTCAGAGCCAATACTCTGACTGTACAGGCAGAAGACGACAATGTTCCAGTGTCTCTGGACTATGAGGACATATGGGGAGCCTAACGGACCTTCAAAGCCTTACAGATTAAAAAAAAAAAGCTCAGTCCAGGATGAGACGTTCACACCGCTTGCCTGGATGAGCACATACATGTTTCTGAGCAATGCTCCCCTGAGGCTGCCTATCAGTGGATCCAAACATACAGCACCTCTTACCTCATGGAGAGACCGTCAGACTCTCTGTAAACTGCACACAGACTAACCTGGACTGCTCTCTTATATCCATCACAATGAGAGGATGGGGACGGTTTTTGTTTTTTTTTTACTCAGTTTTGTAGAGGTCATGGTCACAGTGCCTACAGTGTTTTGTAGCTGCTTTCCTGCTCTGTGGGAAGGACGCAGAGGGGAAGTGGGAAGAATGATTCTCAAGGTGAAAGTGTTTTTTCAGCTAATGTATCAACATTTTGGTGCCATTACATTTTAGATGAGGTTTATTCACAGTCTATAGTGTAGAGCACTCCTTAGTGGACCATTCCTTTTTTCTTACTTCTATTATATTATTACAACAAAAACAGATAGTCTGCAGGAAGTGCATATCTTACATCTCTTGATGTCATTATAAATGCAGTAATTCTCAAAATAATATATTTTAATTCCACTACATGATCATATTAAATGATCAAGGTTAAATCCCTCTTAAGAAAACATAATCACTTTGGGACTGTATGAAAATTATTGTGGTTGGAAGGTTAGTTAGGCTTTTTGAAAAATTAAGACCCTGTGCATTATTATCAATATTTTCTTTGTACCTTAACCTTGACCTAAAGAATACATAATGATATCAAAGTTGGTTCAGCTGAAATTAAATGGCTAAAAAAGGCAAAGCATAAATAATTCAAGTTGGTTTAATCCAGTTCAACCCTAATTGTGTTGGTAGAAAACTTATGGCAAACATAACATAACAGTATTATAAAGACAATTCTTTCAGAAATAAGATCTACTTAAAAATTGTAATATAGGCACATCAAAGTTTTGTTTTTTTAGTTGTTTAAGACCCTTCCTCCCTTTAATAATGTTGGCACGGTCTCTAATTAATATAAAGGAGCATGAATTCTTGCTGTATCCTCTCACAAATATCTCTCCTCACATCCACATCTTAGATCAATTTCAAATCCCTGCCGTGATGTATCTGATGAATTCATGTCAAATAGTGATTAGATTAGAAAGGAAGGGACACACTTAGAAAATAAAAATAGATGGGTGAGCCTAGGGTCATCACAGGTCGACTGGCTGCACTGCAAAAATCCAGTGTTTAAAGATTGTTTACCTAATGTGTCTTAGCAGGATTTAATGCCGCGTTATGTTGCAAATGAATGTTTCAACGATGACTAAACACTTGAAGAAAAGCTGCTTGTTAGAGTGCAAGCAGAGGGCTGCTGAGCATCAAGTGTATGTAGAACAGAAGCTCATGCATATGTATGGATTACCCAAGAGTAGTCAGAGACTATGTTCAACTGTGGAGCAATTGTGTTCGAAGGTTTTTGGAAAACTTGAATCACAGGGTCGGCTCGCAAAATGATAAACACTGTTCACTGTCGATGAGGGGAGGTGCACAAACAAGGCTTGTGGGTTTTAATTAAGTTGTTATTATGACACAGAAATGACCCGCACAACAATCCAACTACTGGGATATCCATCACAAGGAAGCTGTGGAATAAATGTTTTTATCCGAGCGACTCTGTCTGTGGATAATGTGATGAGCTGTCCAATAAAATCGTCAACATGGGAAATCATTAACAGGGAGTCATCTAGAAAGTGTATTCTACAGATTTAGCATTACACTACTATAATTTAAGTTTTGTCCTGGGCACAAAGAAAGGATCAAAACTGATGAGATGTATCATCTTTATTATCCCTCACATTTCTTTTTCTTCGTCAAAACCTGAACCTACAGACAGGTGGCACCCCGTGGAGTGTTTGATTATTAGTGGTGCTATGGAACAATGTTTTTACTCTATGTGGGCCATTAACGCAATCTGCTAATAGATAGTTAGGAGCACTATCATGCAAAGAAGTGCTGGAATGTGAAGAGAAGAGGAGGACTGCTACCTGGCGAACACAGAAATAAAAAAATAATGCAGGATTTCAAATGCTCAAAAACCAAGCTTCATTGCATTCAAAACAGCATTTCAGAAGTACAAAAAAGATCTCCTAACAACATTATTTTTTCTCTGATAAAAGAAAACAACATAAAATAGCAGACTACGTGTCCTTTAGAGTGGTGCCTCCTGACTGTGCGGCTGTCAGCTACAAACTTCATGGCGATTGTCAAGAAAATACAAATTCATGTTTTCCAACAGAATAGGGCAAACTTTTATTTTGTTATTGCAATTATAGACAAGTGTTTCGACTTTGCAGGGACATGCTCGCTGTGATGAAAAAAGGCCAATCTCAAGCGTCATTATAGCTGGAAACATGCAAAATGCTCCACGCTCAAGTCAACACTCTTCTGTGGAATTTTGGTTCCCAAAAAGCAGCTTTCACCACACCGCTCTCTGACAGAGACAATGTTATGCAGGCTAGTTTAAAAGGATAGTTCACCCAAAAATGAAAATTCACTCGTAATCTACTCACCACTATGCCGATGGAGGAGTGGGTGACGGCGTTGCAGCCAAATCCAATACAATTGAAGTAGATGTTGACCGATTCTTCAAATGCAAAAAAACAACAGAAAAAAAACCTAAATTGCAAGTGTCCATAAGCCCCAACATTCAAATTTGACTGGAAACGTGTCATTGACACCATGTTCCTTGCCTAAATATCCACTGTGGTCCATTGCACGAATAAATTACCTTGTTATGAGTCATTCTTGTGTGAACTATCCCTTTAATGGCGAGTATAAGCTAAAAGCTAAGAAAGTGAAATATGCAGCCAAAGTGTTCTCTTGCAGTCTGCCATGTCTGGTCTTGTTTATATTCTGTCCTTGCCATAGTCAGCATTCAGGCCTTATCTATCAGTGTCACAGCAAAGAGGGCTGAATAATAAAATACACTGTGTACAGTCCATACACAACCAATGCGTCTGTGTGAGTTTTGTTGGATGAAGGCAAATGGCTGTTACGCAATCCTGCTGCAAGAATAAGCTGTTAATGTGTGAATGCATGTCAATGTACATGTATGCATCCATGCAAGTGTAGGAACACACAGAAGATATGTATGATGTAATTTAAATGCAGCCAGTATTGCGCTAAAGCATGCATGTGTTTATACGGTGAGATGAACGTGTGAACGCTCCAATCAGATTCTGGATATGAACAATATGCGTAAATGGCTGGCTGGATGCTACGAGTTCCATGTTTGCAGCATCTGTGACCCGCTGTGCATCGATTATTTAACCATTACTGCTTCTCAGAGCCTTTATTCAAACCACCCAGCCATTTCAGGAAAAGTGTTTGGTCTTTTTTCTTTTCTTTTGTGTATTTTTAGTCAGCGCTGCATTTGCTGTACCAATGGATGAATGGCAAGGGTGTACTAAAATACTAAAAGCCCATTGTCCATTGACCAGAAAATTGGTTACAAGGCAGTTTAAGCTTTGGGTGGCTGCTTTTAGCAATGTTAGACACCCCGCTCAAATAAACACATTTGGCTGCTTGCGAGCAAAGAACACTGAGCACTGATTCAGACATCCACTTTTTCTAAAGCTGTGTTCAGATGGAAAATGTCCAGCAAAACTGGGCCCGGACATTTTCCAGAGTTTACCTTTCACATATGAAGAACATAGCAGGAGATTGTCCGGTTCAGACGTGTTCACATCAACAGGAAATTGTCCCCAACATTCAAACAAATGGCGCCTTGGGGGGCATGCAGGATCGATCACGGGCATTTGAGGCTCTGCTCGATGTTAAGTCATGTGACACTTCAATGTGGCTGCTGGGAGGAGTAGCAGGGGTGTAGCAACAGGGGAGGCAAAGCAAGCTGGGGCCCCGAGCAGAGAGGGGGCTCCAGATCATGGACCCCTCATATCCCCTGTGCCTGGGGTGCCCAAAGTTCCCTGAAAAGCAGCTGGAAAAAATATTGGCTATAACACCAGCCTGGAAGCCAAATTACACAAATGACTGTTAAAAATAAAAGTATAAACGCATAGAATACGGTATTTATCAAAAGAGAAAAGGTCGAGTCACCAGAGGCACACTGTAAGAAAGGTTTTGGATGTATAATTTAAATAAGGTAGGCCTGCAGTAGTTTAAATTATTCATTTCAATTAAATTTTTACAAATAACAGGTAGTTATCTTTCTTTTTTAATTAATCAGGGCTACAAAAATAATGGCTGCCACACTTTTATCATCACTCATTCATCCACTCATATAACAAACTGAAATCAAATAGAAACTAAAATAAATGATTTACTACAGTCTGTACTGTGAACAGTATGTTGCAAAAGGACCCAAACCCTGAGTTGACCTATTCTCCTTCTTACTGAGTCTCAAGAGAACAGACAAGAATAAGGAGACCTGTAAACAAAATGGAAGGTTCCTCTGTGCAGGGAATGGTTGCCAAACCAAAACTGTCCTTGAGACAATGTCCACCATATGAATTCATGTTCCACCTCCTCGCCCCTGTCCTTCCCTTCTCCGTCTCCTGCCTCTCTTTGAATATATGGACGTCCTTCTTTGCTCATTTTACACAACTGCATGTAATTACCCAGCTCTTACCTTTGTGTGAGGAACATCAAGGAGACAGGGACCCTGGTTTAAACAAGGTCACAGTATAAGCAGCACTCCTATCTCTGCAACACACAATGACAGCCTGGCATCCGGACGCATGTTCATTATGATGATAAGGAACGGGCTGACGTCTCGGGCACCCCCTCGACATCCAGGCCCTTCAGGAAGGAGCCTCCTAATAGAAACTGAGATTAGCAAGTGCTTTGTATTTATGTTTGCAAGAAGAGCAATGTGGAGATGTTCCTCAGAGACCCACGAGTCTCCATCAGCTCTGCTGAGCTGCATCTCTCGGAAACGCTGGAGTCAGTAATTACAGTAACTTAAGTCTGGGCTGTTTCTGATTGCTGGGGCATTTTACAGGCTCACAGAGGAAACTTTCTAATACCCCAGGTTCCTGATTAAAAAGTAATGTGGTCTGTGGTATGCAGGATATGAACAGTGATTAATGCTCACAGGAACTTTTATTCACAGAGTTACAGGGAATTAATGTGTTATTCTGGTATATTTGTCTATCATGACTACTTTTGATGATAAATATTTGAATCCCCTCCACTGTAGATATGTCTTATTAACACAGTCATCAGTAAGAATGATGGCAATCAGGGCAAAAATCAGCTAACCTCCTACAGCTTTCTTTTTAATTGATTCAACAGTTATCATCTCAAACACTTGTTCTCTGAGAACCACAGAGAGTAAACACTAGTAGGAGGAAGTCCTCTGGGAACTCTCAGATAAAAATCCTTTTCTTCTACGTCGTCAGTCTGTTAGCAAGCAACATTGAATGTGAGCTGTCTCCTCACACTATAGTTTGCAAAGCGACGGATATGAAAGACAACAGGATTCATGAGCATTCTTCGTCTGTGAAAGGAAACTGCGTAAAATGTGTTTAGCCAATTGTCTTGACATTTTTTGAGAGTAATTTTATATAAATGGCCTAAGTATTCTCCTGGAAGTAAAGCAAACCTATACATTATTAAAGTGGGATATTTGATGATGTCATAAACACATGCTCATGTTGTACAGTAGCTTAATTAGAGCTTTAGAGTGGTTCAAACATCCTATATAATGCCACTAAGTGCTTTAGGCCTGTAGCTTTGCAGCATAAGTCTCTTTAAGTCACATTTGACTCTTTGCCTTTGTCTCTGCTGTCGTCGGCAGCAGCCTGTGTCTCACGCTGGCTGTTTGTTTTCTTAATTCTTTCAGGTGGTGAATTATTTGTTGGAAAACAAGCCCCACATGTGAGCGAGAGCAACTTTTTTTTTGTCATATTCACAGGCTCCCGTTCTCCAGCTGGCACAAGTTGAAATGAAGGTTCCCTGTATTCCCTGCAGATGGTAAAATTCTGCACTCAGTGCACGACGCCTTCTCAAATCTCTGTGTGTCTCTATCCTGCTTATTCTTCTCTCTCGCCGCCTTCTTTATCCTCTCGCTCTGTACCATACCACACACACCACATCCTCCTTGTCTCTCTTCCCTTCTTCTCTGCCATCTGTTCCTTTCTTTTTTTCAGTCTCTGTTTTATAAATTTTCCTTCATCTTCCTTCTCCTATCACCAACAGTTTTCACCCCATTAGTCTTGCTCTCCTCAGGCCTCTCGCTCTTTTCCTCATCACGCTGATCTTTTCGATCTTGTTTTCATCTCCCAATCATCTGTCTACGTTTATCCTTTTCTCACTCTGCTTTCCTTCTTTCCCTCTCTCTCCATCCATCCCTCTCTATCACTTGAAGCACCTATTGTATTTACTCATACTGTCACTGGCTGCTTCTGTTTATTACCTATTCAGCAGTGAGGCAGGAACCAGCCCTTTGGACCTCTGTCCCTGAATTTTAAAACGCTGCTTCAGAAAATCAATTGTTTTTCAGTTTTCTTCTTTTTCTTATCAACTTTTTTCAATTTATTCCGCATTCAGGTCCCGTTGCGTCAAACAAAGTTCACCTGACCTGTGGTTACAGGGAGCGGGGGGGTTGGATCATGAAAATTCATCACCTCAGGCTCTGCACCGAGGATACGTTTCTCTTGTATCTTATCTGAGTGAAATCCTAAATGAAGCTGTAATGGATTATGTTAATTAATATGTTATCAGTTGTGGAAACATGGGAAATCAACTGTGTGCTTTATCCCTAAGCTGTTTACAAACTTCTCCAGCATTAAAGCAACATGCGGCACATTTAACATCCACTTAATTAGATAACGGTTACACTGACTGTCACAATGTTTGGGCCCAGATAAGACCAGAGAAAGAAATATGCATGTGTAAACCTGGAGATAATGTTATAGGTAGACAGCTTGGATGGATTGTTTCTCCATCATGAAAGCTCCAGCGTGGTCCTCAGCTCAACACTTTCTTGGATTTCATTTCACGCAGCTCCTCTTTGTTCTTGTCCTCTCTTTCGACTTTGTTTCCTTTACCTGCAGGATGCCTCCCCTTCACAATGCAATCTGATCCTGAAGTGTGCTCTGGCTGCCTCTCACAGCTATCACAGCGTTTCACAATAGCCCGCGGTGCTCTTTTGATCAGCCCAGAAGCTTGATCTGAACACCTCGGAGCGCCGCTTAGACCGCAGCAGGGGAGGAAGCGCAAGGTGAGGGAGGGTGAGATGTGGCTGCGCTGTGCAAATGACAAGACTGCCAGTGATGATGGGAACCTCAATTCAGAAGTAGAAGTAACACTTAATGATGATTGAATAGACTGCTGACTTAAACGTACAATGCGTAACTATGGCCATCAGGGGTTTCTCAAACAAAACAGTAGCAAAATACCTATTTTGATGATGTGGTGAAGCAGCGTGGGCTCATGGGAATTGGAATCTACCTGACAGGTCTCATCATGTTAATTAATGAGTTAATGGTCTTCATTTTTATTTACGTTGAGCTGCAAACTGCAACAAATGACGACACTGAACCCTTCAGATTTTATTTGGTCCATAGTGGTGGAGGTTGTAGTGTAAATAGTGTTCCTGTCCATGTCCCAGCCACTAACATGGAAGTGGAGGGATTTATGACCTATATGGCAGCCAGCCACTAGGTAATCAAGATGCTTTGGCTTTATTTTTGGGAGTTGACATCCACCTTATATCTGTGTATACAATCAATGATTTCTGTAACTGGACATTTGTTTGGTACAATGGAAAATAAGAAACATATGAGCACTAAACTGAATTAACTAAGGCCTTAAACTAGATTTTGTCCCGGTAAATCATGTCAAGAAAGTTAAGCAGCACATCACTTCACACGAATTAGTGACGCACATTTCCAAACAAAGTTTCACAGGGAGCTGGAAACGTTCAGGTTCACTGGACTTCTTGGAACCTGGAGCAGGATTTCTTTGATTAAACATT